CATGAAATACCTCTTCGGAATAGTTTCCACTCTCCATTTTGGGAGAAATTCTTCCCCTCTAAAACACAGCATTTAAAGAGGAACATGAGAAAGTCTTCATCATTTGCATATGGTTCCCATGACTTATCGAATTCGAACAACTTTCTCGGGGATGCAAGAGAAGGTAAAGCAAGCCTCACGCGAAATTAATTCGGCAGCAATTACCGTTTGCAGAATTCAAGGCGGCCAAGTATTTGGCGGAGTCGGTGTTCCTTATTCCTGGGATGTTTGTAGCTTATCATTCATCAACACAGAAAGGGTGGGTTTATCCACAGCTCCCCCCCTCAATTTGCGATTGCGAGAGGCATATTGTTGCGGGTAATGGGCATCGTTATTGCAGAATGCTTGGGAAATTAGAAAACCAGTACTTCACTCTTAAATGAATATGTACACTGTTTGAATGAAATTATAAAAGCAAATGGCATATAAAAGAGATTTTAATGTTTGGCTTGAATGGAGAAAAAAATAAGAAGCATCAGTTGTTTTTTTAGTAAATTTTTATTATTGCTGATAAATATTTACTTAATAACTCATTTTTTTTTTATTCAAGACAAGTAATTTTGTTCAATATTTTCAAGCAGCATAATTTTTTTTAAAAAAATTGGTTGCAAAAATTATATTCGTTATTTAAAAAAATAGTTTTGTTATAAATTTATAATTGATTAAATTTTTTTATGTTTAATTAAAGATTTTTATACTGCTTTTCACATTTGTTTTATACCAGTTTTTTTATTGCTTTTAAAAAAAAAATTTCAGTCAGAAAAATACTAGACAATCGTTTTATGATCTATTTTTTTAATGAAAAATAAAATTAACAGTTTAAACTAATCAACTTTATTAGGTGAAATATAAAGAACTTTGTCCTACACTAAAACTTTGTTATCTGGATCAAATTATGGGACAAAGTACTGGCGTTTGGGAGCATCATCCGAAAAATCCCTTTTTTTCGTCTATATTATATTGTAATTCTTGCAGTATTATATATTTATTTCGAATGGTTCAGTGGTTTTACGACAATTAAGGCAACAATAATTACCTGTATAAATTATGGTTCATCAGATTTCTTGTTCTGTAACATGTTCCTGTAAAAATGGATTTTACGGTGAACTGTATTGACACCCTCAGTACATTTTACAGTTATAATACATTTTACTGTAATTTTAACCCGAATTTTTTAAAGTGCACTGTGTAACGCTAAAACTACTTTGTTTTAAATAGCACGAATAATGTTCAAACAGTTAAAAAAAAAACTAGTGTTAAATGAACAATGTTTAACGAATACGTTGAATAATGCTAAAACAGTTAAAATATTACTTAGTTTTTTGATTTATAATCCAAATAAAACGAATGTCATCTTAAAATTTTATTAAAGCTCCATAATTTAATTTCCGCTTATTAAAGCTATATTAATAGCAAGGCACAAAAGTAGATTATATTTTAATAAAATTTTGGGTCCCAGCTATGTTTTTTGCGAGCTGTGGTGATTGAGCGAGTAGAATTTCCCGACTCATTCAAGTGACACTCATACATAAGTTTTATTGCTCATAATAATAAAGTGAAGGATTAGGTATGTCCGGATCAAATTACGGTTAAAAATAATACAGAAACTTAGGTAGCCAGTATATTTTTAGTGAAATTTTACGCAGCAGAAAATCTGTTATGACATAATTTTTACAGTAATATTTGCTGTAAAAAATTACTGAATCACTGTAATTAATTAAATAATACTTTACAAATTACAGTATGGAATTCTCCGGTAAAAATGTAATTTAAGGTAAAATTGATTTTACGGATGCTGCATTCAAGGTGACCACACTTTTTACCGTAATTTGATCCGGAATACTTATTTGATCCGTGCGTACACTCATCCTTAAGTGGCTACCAAAATTGCAAAAGTGGATGCAAATTTTATTATTCCATTCTTCTTTTATTTTAAATTTTATTTTATAAAAATCCTGTACAGTTTCTTAGTAATTTTTTTAACGTAAAATCACTTGTGTTTTTAGTCATATTGATTAACATATACTGACTGCTGTATGGTAAACCTATAAGCAAAGATGAACTATAGGTTTGCAAATATGATATAGGTACATTGTAAATATGATATAATTTACAAATAATTCGCGTAATTTTTAAATTCAGAAAATGTACACACAGAAATTTATAAACATACTGTAAAAATTTCCTGATCAAATCACGGTAAAGAGAACAGGAACTAATTACAGTAAAAAGTACCGGTACTCAGGGTTCCGGTACTTTATGCAATAAGAATCCACTTTTACCGGAGCTTGTTACGGAACAAAAAATCTGATATACCGTCATTTTTGCTGTAATAACTACCGTAAAATCATTGAATCATTCTAATTAAATAAATATTTTTGTAAATATCACGATGTAATATTTTACTGTAAAATCTATTTTACGAATGATACACCCAAAGTGTCGGTACTTTAAACCGTAATTTGACCCTGAATTTATTTCAGCGCACGTGAAAAAAATTTGTGAAATAATAGCGGGTACATTATATACTTCTTCACTTGGTTTAGGGGAAATTTTTTAATTGTACTGCCACGTGCATAATTATTTTTAAAAATCACAACCAAAATTTTTAAAAATAATAGAAAAAGTTGTAATAACTGTTTATCCTCCTAAAGCTAGAATTTTAAAGTTCATTTGCATAATAACTGTATTAAGTTACTAAACACGTTGTTAAAAAAACTGCTATTTAATTACCGGCACGAATTGTTTTTAATTTTTAGCTTATTTATTAAAGGAGATGTAACCATATACGTTATGAGCTGCAGCTCTTTTCTAAAAATTAGTACTTGAATGTTGTTATATATTCTTACTTGAAATCAATGTAATTTTCAAGGTCAGTGTTAAGAAGTATATGGATTCATCTTTTCTTGAAGAAATAAATAAAACAGTTTTTAAGTAAATCTGCAACTGAAAAAATTTACAAATTAGTAATATATATATTTTTTAAAAGGCATATTACTACAACAATTTCAGTGTTATAAGTAATAATTGAAAAAAAAAAGTTAAATGCGTGAAAGAACAATAGATTTTCGCATTGTTAAACTTTTTTCTCCCTAAGGATATGTGACTGAAACAGTTTTAACATAAAGCTATGAGTAAACGGGTTTCTTTTATTTTATTTTTTTTTTCTTTATTAAATGACCAAATCAAAATTTTAGCACTAAGTTATTAATAAATAGCTTCTTAAAAGAAATATAACTGAAGAAAATTTAGCATCATAAGCTATAGGTATTTTCGTTTCTTCAAATGTATATACTTATAACAATTTTGACATCATGAGTTATAAATATATATGACTGAAAATTTTTTAGTAACATTAGTTATGAATAAATACTCTCTCAAAAGATGTATGACTAAAACAATTTTAACATTGTAAGTTTTGAATAATTTTTCTCCTTCATAAGTGTATGACTGAAACATTTTTAACATAAATAAATCTTTTCTTTAACAAAATATATGACTGAAACAATTTTACCATAAGTTAAAACCGAAATGTTTCCTGCAAAGATATATACTAGCAATGGATGGGAAGACCAAATCTATTGAAACACCAAAACGCTCGGTAATTTTTATCGAAGTACTTTGTTAAGGATCCTAGTAATATTAACAATAAAATATGGTTTTATAATGTTGTATAAAATTTAGTAAATGTGATAAAATTTTGTAATTTTGTAATTTTAACACTTTAGAGCACGACATAAAAACCATACGTTCAGTTAAACTTACTTTTCAGTTTAGTATTTTCTCCTAAGTGTATGATAATAAGAACTATAATTTTACATACCAGAATTTCCGGTAAATCGTTACCACATGAATGAAAAAACTACCAAATGAATAATTTAAATAACATATATTTTTTCTTTCATTGCCTGTGTGGTAATTTTACCATAATTATTTTCTCCGTGTAACATCTTTAGTTATAAATGTAACTGAAACAATTTAAGCATTATAAGATATAGATACTTTTTTTTTCTTCAAATGCATATGACTATAACAATTTTGACATCAAAAGTTATAAATATATATGACTGAAAATTTTTTAACACTATTAATTGTGAATAAATACTCTCTTAAAAGGTGTATGACTAACGGTTACTGTACAGTAATTTTTCCAGAATTATTATATTTGTAACATCGTTAGTTATAAATGTAACTGAAACAATGTAAGCATTATAAGCTATTTGTATTTTTTTTCTTCTTCAAATGTATATGACTATAACAATTTTGACATGATAAGTTATAAATATATGTGACTGAAAATTTTTTAGCATTATTAATTATGAATAAATACTCTCTTAAAAGATGTATGACTAACGGAAAACGTGCGGTAATTTTTCCAGAATTATTATATTTATAACATCGTTAGTTACAAATGTAACTGAAACAATTTAAGCATTATAATCTATTTGTATTTTTTTTCTTCTTCAAATGTATATGACTATAACAATTTTGACATGATAAGTTATAAATATATATGACTGAAAATTTTTTAGCATTATTAATTATGAATAAATACTCTCTTATAAGATGTATGACTAACCTTAAATGTGCGGTAATTTTTCCAGAATTATTACATTTATAACATCGTTAGTTACAAATGTAACTGAAACAATTTAAGCATTATAAGTTATTTGTATTTTTTTTTCTTCAAATGTATATGGCTATAACAATTTTGACATGATAAGTTATAAATATATATGACTGAAAATTTTTTAGCATTATTAATTATGAATAAATACTCTCTTAAAAGATGTATGACTAACGCTAAATGTGCGTTAATTTTTCCAGAATTATTATATTTACAACATCGTTAGTTATAAATATAACAAACAATTTAATCCTTATAATTCGTAAATAAATATTTTCTTAAAAAAATGTGTGACTTAAAGCATCATAAGTAACAGATAAAACTTTATTTTTAGGTTGCTTCAGCAGCAAATGCAGCAACAGCACTTAAAACAACAATCGAACGGAGGCAGCAACAATAGTTCAGCCAGCTCAGGAATTCTGAGCGGGCACCACCATCATTTACACGGTAGCAGCCCCACATTAAACGGCGGCAACAATGGCTCATCGACCGGCGGCGGAGATTCCAAGCACCGTCGGCGCATGGGAGGCGGTCGCGACTCGAGCGGGCGGCCAGACGAGGACGACGATGACGACAGGATCAACATTCTCGACGATGACGATGATAATTCGAACGGGAGTTTTGGGAGTCTTTGCGGGAGCAGTGCACCCCCTAGTAGTCCTGCCGCTGTTTCCACGACGTCGGACTCGAGTCGCAGCCCCTCTCCACACCACGGTCACCACACGAGCAACAACCACAACAACCACCACCACCACCATCATCACAATAATAATCATCACAATCATCATAGGCCACCACAACCTTGACCGAGTGAATAATTATTGCATTTTAGAACTTTGATATATAATTTTGAATATATCTATATACTATATAAATCGAGAGAAGTAACAGGCACAGGAACGAATCGAGATATCATCTCTACTAATGAAGAAGATAAAGCAATTTAGTAACTCTTTTAAAAATATAACTTGAAGAAAAAGAACGGAAAAAAACATGGAGTTTTTAACTTCAGAAGCTTTTTATTTCTGAAATAGAAAAAATAAGGAACGAAAATGAAATTTTGATTATTTTAATACGTAAGTTTATACAACTTTTAATTTCAGAAAAAAAATTATCCTTGCTGGTATATTATTATAGATAAGGTTTTAAATAAGTATATTTTATTTAAATTAAAAATTAATTATAAATAAGGATAAAACTGTTGCTTTTCCATCACCGAGTCATGAATTTTTTTTATCATTTTGAACTGAAGTAGTTAATCGCAACACATTTTATTATAAAATAATTTAAATTGTTAATGTTATTTTCATTTTAATTTATTTTAATTTTTTTTATTCAGAAAATTAATAATTTTAAAAAATGATCAATTTCAGACAGTTGATGACAAAATATTTATTAATAAGACTAATAAAGAGTTAAAACTATTTTAAATTAACAGATTAATTATCTTTTATGAGTAACTACACATTCACTTGCCATTATAATAATTTAAAGAGATCATCAATAGCAAAATTATTTCAGTTAGAAAAATTTTGATCTTAGGAAATTTTAAAGATTGATAACATGATTTCGATAATGTATTTTTAAAAACAAGATAATTTTTATTTTAAATTGAAGATTTAGAATGTTCTTTGTGATATTAAAATAAATATTGTGAAATAAAATGTTAATAGAGGCTTGATTCGTTCTTTTACGAACTATATATTGAATGAGCTGTGCCTATGCCTATGTACTTTATGAAGACTCTTTAATCTATGTATATATGTGTCCCAGAGATTTTTGAATATTGATCCGGTGGTGATTTTCATATCATGTAAACAATGCTGTGAATATTATACATAATTTCTCATATTAATTAAATATCGCTAAAAGATTTTACAGAATATTTTACATTATATATAAACAATTATTTTGAAACTTTCAGAAATTATGCTGAAGTACGAATTCGATATGGCACCTAAAACAGAGCATCGATTACTTTTCTTTGTCTGCTAAAATTTGTTTAGTTGTATGTTATTAAAAATTATAATTGTTGTAAAATAAAATTGTGTGTATTATTGAAAATGGAAATACTATAATATTAATGCAAGTTAAAATAATATATTATTGTAGCTAAAATAATATTTTTTTTCATACAAGAAGCGTTTGATTTAAACTTTGATATTAACTTTGTGTTTTTTTAAAAAATACACTTTATTTATTCTATTTAAATAAGTTTTCGCAGTTAATTAAAAAATGGCTATAATTTTTATGAGTGCATAGTATAATGAAATGCTGCATGAATAATAATTAATATTCCAATGACTGATTTATATTTTGTAATACTTTAGTTTATAAAGTTTAATTTGTTCAAAAATTAACCAAAAAAAATATTAATCTATTATTAACTTTTATAAATCTTTAAATAATCTTCAAATGAATTTTTTGGATTAATAATGTAAGTTATAAGTTTACTTTTATAAATATACTATAATGCAGTATTTTATGAATCTAAATTTGATTTATCGCGCATTCTTTAAATTTATCAATTAAATAGTTAACATTCTTTTATCTATACAAATTCTCGTTGTCAGTGCTTTATTTTTATCAAGCCTATGAAATTCGATTCCCTAATTACTTTCATGACGAAGATGGCATATCCTTTTTGTCGAACAATCGATTGAACCAAGAAATTATAGTACCCGTATCAGTGGTATCAACTTCCGAAATCAAATATAAGTTTCATTATCGTCTTTGAGCGAATTATCGTCGTCGAATTCAATATCGAGGAAAATTACCAATAAATCAATTTTGATGCCACAAATTTTCGCTACCGGATTAATTGTATAATTTTAAATCATTAACTGACATTAGGTAATATTTTAAAGAACGTTTCCCTTTTTTAACTGTTTTTCATGATACGGAATGATAGTTTTATTCAGATTATGTGACAGAAAGTAAAAAAAAAATTTCAGTACTTTAAAAATTTCGAAAATTTCATTTAAAAAACTGTGTGCCATGGTTTTGATAACTACATAATCACAATGTTTGTGTCCAGAAAAGTTTTAATTATAGATGCACATTATTAGCCCAATTTTTTGTTTTTTCAAGAATTTTACTTCAGTTTTCATTTTCCGTTACTTAGCTTTACTGTAAGAATTAGTAAGAATAAAATTTACCAGAACAATTTCTAATAACCACAAAAAATAAAAACAAAAACCCTTCAAAATATCACTTAAATTTGATGCTGATATTAATAATTTGAGAAACTATTTTCCTTTCTTTCTTCAATTACAGTAATATGAATGATTTGTAATTGTTGTTATTATTTCGCAAGTGAATTAAAAAAAAAATTTCATATTGAATATTTTATTCTTCTGAAATAATAATAAATTTAGTATAATAGTAATTATAAATATGTTTTCCTCTAAAAATAATGCGTAAAAAAAGAAAATAAATAAAGATTTTTGCGAAAGTTTGAATAAAGTTTATACACGTTGCACTTATTGTAACGACTAAAACAAAAAAAACAAAAAACAAAAAAAAAAAAACCCTTTTTTAAAGATTATTATGAACAGAATGAACAAGAACAACTTTGCATTGCATAAAGAATAAACTGTTAATACAAACTGTGAATAAACTGTGAACACAAACTGTGAAATTTATGCTAAAAAAAATTTAAATAATTGATTGACTTTTTTTTCTTCATTCTCAAAGTAAATTTTGCCATTATTGTCATTATAGAATTCTTTCCTTTTTTTGGTTTATTTGAGATTATATTTCTCTTTCACCATTTTTTTAAAACATTTTTATGAATAGAATGAGCTTCGTTTAAAAAAAACTATTCTTTTCTTTTTCTCTTTCTTGCTTTCCTTTTCCTTATTTACAAAATATTTTTCATTATTTCTCAAAAGAATTTTTTTTTTCAAATTGAAGGATATGCTCCCCTTTACCCACCTCCATTTATTGCAAATAGAAATGACAAGAACAGTTTTTAAATTGTTTAACAATTGAAACTATGAGCATTTTATTTCAATTTTAATCAACAATTCAAAAAACTGCCAAATTTTCCTTTTTTTATTTATAAAACAAATTTTGTTGTTTCTTCTCAAAATAAATCTATTTTAAAAAATAAGAACTTTTCCTCAAAATTTTATTGATTAGTTGCAACCCAAGGCCATGTATCCCGAAAAGTTTGAATGGCTTTATTCAGGTATTTAGCATCATGTGATGCAGAAAATTTAACACTAATTGAGCATGCATTATCTACCAATTCACCAGGTCCTTTTGGCCTAAAGGCTTAGGCCAGGGAATACGGTTATCTTTAAGGGGTGAATAATAAGTTTATTCTCATATGGTTGGTTGACAGAAGTTCATTGCGTGATTCAATTACATTCAAGAAGCACGTCAAAATCGAGTTTATTTTGAATTACTTTTATAATACTAGCGACCTTAAAAATAACTTCTTTTTGTTAATACCTAATTCAACAAATTTTAAACGATGAAATGTTTTGTGAGTTGTATGAATCTAAAATAATGTTTCTTTTATAATTTTTCTTTTATAATTTTTCTTTTAATACTTTTATTTATGAATATACATGTAATAAAACAGGTTTTTATTGCTTACATCTCACATATTAATGCGTTATAACGACGATATAATAATAACGAATTTAAAAATTGCTTACTTTTGTTAATATTTCATTCAAAAAATTTTAAAAGCTGAAATGTTTTGTGAGTTGTATGAATCTAAAATAATTTATCTTTTTAATTTTTCCTTTATTACTTTTACTTATGAATATACATATAATAAAACAGGTTTTTATTGCATACATCTCGCATATTAATGCGTTGTAACGACGATATAATAATAATAACAAAATTAAAAATAGCTTCTTTTTGTTATATTTCATTCAACAAGTTTTAAAAGATGACATTTTTTGTGAGTTGTATGAATCTAAAATAATTTATCTTTTTAATTTTTCTTTTATTCCTTTAATTTATGAATATGCATACAATAAAACAGGTTTTTATTGCATACCTCCCGCAAATTCCTGCGTTATAACGACGTAACGTGTTCTCATAAAAAGATTTTGAAAAAGAAATTAAAATACAGAGTAATTTTCGTTTGTGTAAAATCATAACAGTAAGGTATATAAGAAATAAAATATAAGAAATAAATTTAACGCAGCTTTTCATTTTTAAAAATATACCATTAATCAGATTAGATAATTTTTTTGTAATACATGTCATTAGTAACTATTTTCATTGTACTTTACAAATAGGTAAATTTTGATGTAAAAATTACATTAAAAACCAGTCGTAAAATATGTAACAAATATAATACAAACTAATTTTGCATTGGTTTAAGTAGTGATTCTTAATTATATAATTTCTGCATGATTTTTTTTATAGTAAACAGATTTGCCCAAATTTTACTCAATATTAGTTAAAAGTATAAGCTCTTTCTAATATTTATTGATTTAAATTATCTTTTGTTATGCACTCATAAAATTATCTTATAATAACCCCGTGCTTTTTTAGTAAAACAATTATACACGAAGAAAAAGTTATAGTTAAATTACAGTTCGGTATGGAAATAACATTTCTAGGAAAAAAAAGAAAGAAAAACATAATTTTAATTAGAATAGAAATAAATGGTATTTAAAACAATATATTTGCTGATTTTTTAATACATATGGCAACGGTTTACCGGTTTTCAAAATTATAATTTTTACTACCACTCATATAGTAAAGAATACAAAACTAAAAAGTAAATTTAACCGAATAAATGGTTTTTATGTCAAGCTATAAGATATCACGTAAAAGTTACAAAATTTTACCACATTTACCATATTGTAGATCCATATTTTATTGTTAATTTTACCAAACTCATTACCGAAGATCAATGATCAAACGCAAAAAGTACCGTTCTTTTTGGTGTTCTCATAAAGCCAGGAAAGCGGTAAAGTTTACCACATTCTGTTAGTT